GGGCGCAGGCGCGTTGTACAGCGCAATGGTCAGTTGCTTGGTGCTTTCCTTACCAATGAGGTTTGATTGTAGCTTGGTAACGCCCAGGATCATTAACGGCATGGCCAGCGCCGGGAGGATAATCGCCGAGATCAGGGTTTTGCGATCCCTTAGCATATCAATGATCTCTTTCTTAATAACGGTAAATATGGTATTCATTGAAGGCTAGTTGTTCTTAACGATTTGGATAAAGGTTTCGGTCAGCGACTGGTTGCCCGACTGTTGCCGGAACTGTTCCATCGTGTCTGCATAGATAATTCGCCCCTGGTTGATGATGGCCAGCTCATCGCAGAGCAGGTCTACTTCACTCATGATATGAGAGGAGAAGATCACCGTTTTTCCTTCTGCCTTACAGGTGCGTATCAATTCAATAATATTATTGGCGGTGATCACATCGAGGCCGGAGGTGGGCTCGTCAAAAATCACGACATCGGGGTTGTGGATCATGGTACGCGCAATGGATACCTTTTGTTTCATCCCGGTAGATAGCTGTCCGATGCGTTTGTGCAGGAATTCATTAATACCCAATTGTGCAAAGAGTTTTTCTTTTCGCGGCTTGAACACGTCTGCCGGTATCTGGTGCAGGTCGGCAAAATATTTAACCGTTTCCAGCGGGGTAAGGCGGTCATACAAATTGGTGGAGCCGGTAAGAAAGCCGATGTGTTTTCTCACTTCCCTTGACTGGGTGCTTACATCAAAACCGCTTACCGTGATATGGCCCGCTGTGGGTGCAAGCAGGGTGGCGATCATGCGCAAGGCAGTGGTTTTACCGGCGCCATTGGGGCCGAGCAATGAAAAGATGCTGCCCGGTCGGCATACAAAACTCACATCATGGACGGCATTGACCGTTGCATTTTTTGTCTGCAGTTCATGCTGCTGCTTTTTAGTGAGCGTATATCTTTTGGAAACGTTATCAACAACGATCATGTAACAGTAGGTTGGTTTTATTTGCTTAAGATGCGGATATCTGATGTTGGTTGGTTACTTCAGCTTCCTGTTTCGCCCGGTTCGTTAACCTGGATTGTACGATTAAGCTGAATGCGGAGAACATCGCGATGATCCCCATATAATATTCAATAAAGGTGATGCCTGTATTTTGGGGGGCAAAGAAAAGTACAAAACAAAAGTAGCCAATAGCATTGTTGAACACCAGCGCAACGGGGCTCGCCTGGTAGGCTACTGCCCATAACAGCTTGTATTCCCGCAGCTGTTGCAATTTACGGTAGCGGTAGGCCATGGCCAGCACTATATACATGATCAACGGGGC